CCAAACATTCACTCATACCATTTCTTTTAAGCCAAGCTCATATTCTGAAATGTAAGTCACTGAGAGTTAAAATTTGTTGGAGACTATATTCTTTTAAAAAATAATAAAAAATATGTTCCCCTTTTGTAGGCTAACCACCCCCAAACCTAGACAGCATTAAAGCAATTGTCTTTCCCCACCTTCATTTACCATTGCAAGCATTCTCAGTATTCATTCAGCTATTCCTGGTTTTGCTTATCATTGTTTCCTTTCTCTCTAAAATTTTTATTATAGTTATATCTTTGTTGTTTCATGCCTCCCTCTTTTCTGTAGATGATGCCATTTTGGTTACCTACCTCACAGAAAAAGGATTTACATTAACATGCAATCTAGGTTTATACAATGTACTAAGCAATGGTTCTTTCGACCATGGCTTACTGAGTACCTTGCAAAGACTCAATTAAAGCAGATAGGATCACAGTGGCAGAGTTCAGATAAAACTAACACTAAGCTAAAATCCAGCAGGGTTGAGTTTATGCACGGTTTAGCCATCAAGTGCTTTGCTTGGTTCTGGCTTAGCGTTTTATCTGGCCGAACCAATTAGTTTATTCAGCAACAGTGATGTTTGATTTCAATCAGACCCTTGGTCATGTAACGTACTAAGCTGAGAAGGGTTTTGTTTGTTTATCTTGCACAATTCCAACCTTGTATTTTACAATCCATGAAACTAGCCAATTGTGATTTACTCAATAAACCATGATTAAACAAATCACAGGTTAGCACAATGTGGACCTAAAGCCATTAACATGACACCCCAGCCAAGCACTGAAAGCAACTGGAAAAATTCCACAGAACCTGATAATGGCAGCTGGATGAGGATGAAAAGGCCTAACAAAGTAGTTAGGCTTCAGGTAAAAACACTAGAATTTACTATATGTACAAACATTCAGGATTAGGACCAGTATTTTTTCTAATTAACCAGCTCTGGCAGATTAGATCTCACCCCCTTTGTTATTTAAAATACATATTCATAGCACTGTATTTTATAGATGCACTGTTCTGGTTACAAAATAGCTTCTATTTTTCTAGGACATAATTTCATTTTGTTTAGCCAAGAATTCATTAAAGAAGCTATAAATAACCTCCTTTAAATATTTAGCCGTGAATAGAGGGTGGACTGGCATTGATGGCTTATTTTAGTACTAACGCAATATGCTTTAGAGCCATAAAATCTACATTTCAGCATGTATCAAGCTAATGATTAACACCTCCAAAAAGGTTTGAGATATCCAATTAAGTTGTGTGTTTGCAAGCTTACACTCCAATCACTACCCTTTTCTCCCAGAAGAGAGTCAAGAGGAGGGCAAAACAGGATTTGGACCATCAGTTTTTGGGGGTTTGTGTTTTTTCCTCATGCAGAAGGGGTCAGCACTAATCTAAACACTTACTTTGTTGTAGTGTTGAAGGGCCTCTCCAGTGGTTAGGCTTTCCCATAGCCAACAATTCCCACAGAAACCACACAGCAAAGCCACAGCTGGGTCCTTACAACACATGCGAAGCAAAAATGGGGTCATTCGTTTTTGGCTTAGTGTGATGTGTAAGCTAGTCACTGGCTTGTAAATGATTTATGTGCAAATCCAGCCAAATAATTGATTGCGTGCCATCAAGTCATTGTCAACTCTTAGTGACTACATAGATAGATTTTCTCCATGATGATCTGTCCCTAATCTGGTCCTACAGCTCTTCCAACGGTGCCCCCATCACGACTTTAACTGAATCTGTCCACCTTGCTGATGGTCACCCTCTTCTTCTTTCCTTTCCCAGCATTAGAGCCTTCTCCAGAGAGCTAGGTCTTCACATAATGTGCCTGAAGTAGGATAATTGAGCCTGATCATTTGTGCCTTGAGTGAGAACTCTTGATTTTTTTGATGATCCATTGGTTTGTTTTTTTGGCTGTCCACAGTATTCTCAGGAGTCTTCTCCAACACCGAAGCTCAAAATTGTCAATAATCTTCCTATCTTGCTTCTTCAAAGTCCAACTTTCACTTCCATAGAGGGTCACAGGGAATACCATGGCTTGCATGATTCTGATCTTTGTAGGTATAGACATATCATGGCATTTAAGTATCTTTTCCAACAGCCAAATGAACCATCAGTAAAAGAACCAGGGCTCAATAGATTATGCAGAGCAAGCCTTTAGTTTAGCACCATATGTGAACTCAACCATTCTGCCATGCCTAGAGTCTAATCATTCTCCTATCTTCCCTGCCAATGAAAGAACATTTTGCATCAGAATACTCACCAATAACATCTCCCCTGCTCACTTCAGATATTCCTCTAAATGCATAGAGAACTCAAAGTGTGGAGAGACTGGAGTTGAGCATACAGTATCCCCTCCTTCCAGTCTTCATGCATTCAGAAAGTGAGTTAAATTCATTTTTACCTGAATGCTCTTCCTATAATCTGGGACTGAAATAAAACAGACTCCTGGATTAGGATGACAATACTATTAGGATTCAAGTGAATATAAATTCAGGTCCTGTTCAGATCTTCTTCTTGAATTCTGGAGATCAGGGAAATGTCAGGTGGGCATTTTCTTTGCAGCCTCATTCTCTCCCCACATACTCAAATGCAATCCTTTTAGATCTGATTTTGTGCATAAATAATATATTCCAAAGAAAGTTTGTACTTGGATTACAGAGCAGAAGGGTCCTATCTTGAATTGCAAACAGCAACTGACACCAACTACAAGATTGGTGTTAAAAGATGGCTGAAAAAAATGTTGCTTCTTGATTTTGTGTCCTTTGCCAAGAGCAGGATGAGGCTCCAAATATTTCTACAGCTATAGTGCTGGAATTAGAAGATCTAGCTTTTGAGTAAAAGAGTAAATCCTAGTCTACCACAAATTGAGATGGACTCCTGATGAGTATAAGAGCACATCTGTATAGTTTTCCTGGAAATGAATAAAAAGGACTTCTATTGCCTTCTTCTGTGGTTGTTGCTTTACCTCCCACTCTAGCCTATAGCTCTGGATTTTCCTGTTGGTCTCCCATCCAAATACTAACTGTGTCGATCCTACTTAGCTTTCAAGATCAGCAAAGGTCAGTTAGATGCTGCCACCTGCTGTGGGTTCATTTATGTCACAAGATCTTTATGTGCATCTTGTAGCCATCCTGAAGACTTTGGACAACAACACAGAGCCAATCTCCTTTTGGAACAGCTTGCATTAACAGTGTATTTTTGCAAACGCAAAATAACACCCTTTTTGCCTTATGAACACTCAGTTCCCAGTGATATTAATACACAGTAGTTCCAAAACCAGAAAAGAGAGGGTCAACTGCTTTGCCTTGGAAAAGTCATCAAATGTTTCCAGAAACTTCAAAATGAGAACATTACATCCCTTAAGAAAAATAATCTCCACTTCGCTTCAATTTTTACTCGAAAAGTTTAATTTTACAAAATACATTTTTTCCCTTTCAAAGAAACATCCCTGCAAAATACATGAACACAGCATTCTGTTTCATAGATTCTATACAACTAAATTATCAGAGGTTTTCTACTTGTGGGAAAGAAATGATTTGTCAGCAGACACCTAAAAGCAAACCTTTCAAAACAATGAGGGATATGAGAGAGGGCCTTAAAACGCTAAAGCAAGTCATGAAATAGAATTGTTGGTTCTATCTGAAAGTTGCAAACTTTCTTTCAAATAGCCCATATGGTATTTAGAACATCACATCTGGTACAAAACGGCTTGTATTTAGGATTGCGCACAACCAAAAAGCTTTATGAAGATTATTCTTTTGAAAATTATTCCATGTCTGTTATCATAAGGCAAACATGTATAAAGGTGCTGACTGCACACAGGGATATTAAGAAAATAAGGAGACCTTTGAAATGCTTCTTCACAGATTTTTTTTTTTAAAAGAAATATCAATAAGAGGTCTAAGCATGAACAATATTAAATCAAGGCAATCTGCCATCTTACTAGCTAGACATAAGCCATTTCTTGCCACTCGTTTTCATGAAAATGAACAACTTCCACTGTTTATATGGGATCTAGCTTTTCTGTTGCATTCTGGCAGCTTTGAATTTTGAAACTCTCTTTGTTACTTCTTCTGAAGCCTCACAGAGAACTTCCTCAGATTTTCGCTCCAAAATGGTTGGCAGGACAGGATGAGCAATTACTGGATGTGGTATTGAGGAGGGTGACAAAGGTTCCTTCTCGACAACTGTTCCTGAGAAAGCCTAAAAGAAAAAGAGGACACTCCAAAAATAATCTTACAAATTTTAAGTTACCTTCCTTTCCCCTTCTTTCAAAGCCCCAAATTAAGCTCACCGAACCATTCACAATTTATCAACATTGGTTTCCACTGGGTATAAATCCAAGATGAAACTGGTGGCCAAATGTTCCAAGAGTCATGATCAGGAGTGTGAAGGCAAGGGTTGCCTTTTTTTTTTAACTATCAGGATACTCTACTCTTTACACGGAAAGATAGGTACAGAAGCTATACAGGGAACCAAGGATTCCACCACGAACATCACTAATTATTTGACTCCTAGGACCACCTTAGGAGACCCTAAACATTGCTGGTGGTCTAGCTGTCCCATCCATTTGACAATCCCCCAAAATATCAGCATTCTCATTTTCTGAAGCTTTTGTACATACGTACGTACGTACGTACATACATACATACATACATACATACAGCTTAACAGAATGGCTAGCTGACATCCATGATCAGAATCAGATTATTATTAGTGACTGTTAGGAAATAGATTAGGTTTTGAGCACTGAAACACAAGAGATTACCAACAAAAGTATAGTAGAGTATTCGTAAGAGATGCCTCATGTTAAAAATGAATAGAGGCAATTCTTTTCTATAGAATCAAGAAGTTGGAAGGGGTTATTTAAGGCACTAAGCCTAACTCCTGCTCAGTGATAGAAGACCTGAGTATTACCCAATGAAGACTGATGAGTAGAATATTCAACTCAGAGGAAAGAGAATCTTTCTATGCAGAAAACTTAATTAAACAAATGGCATTCACTACAAGAAGTTGTGGTGATGGCCACTAATTTGATTTTTTTTTTTTTTAAACAGAAGCTGCAGCAGATTCGTAGAGGGCAGCATGAACTGCGATAGCTATGTATAAGCTTCGGCTTCCAAGGATGTCTGCATACCACAATCATTTCTGCCTGAAATTTTGCCAAAGTGTTTTCTGGGGGCATTCAGCTGGCCACCCTACGCAGCAGTGCTGGGGAATAGATGAACATAATAAAGCATATTCACACAATGCAATAAGCTCTAATTTCCTTAACCATGGCTTACTGGAAAAACTGACCAAGTCTGTAAAATACAGTAAGATATAAACCATGGCTTACAAACATCAATGGCCAAAACAAGCAAATCACATGACTGCTTAGCATGTTGTGTGAGCCCATTCTCAGTCCAGTCCAGAAGGGAAAGATGATAAATGTATGAACCCCAGAACCAGGTACGCTGAAGCCTTGCATTAGTAACTCTTAAAAAGAAGCTTAAAGTACATTTTCCTCCTCCTACTATAAAACATTGTATGAATATCTGTGCCCATTCCTCAATGTGCTATCACTATCAGGGAATACTTCTGAGAGCGTGTCTGACGGTTTTCTGGACATCGTTTTTTGTCGTTTACTTAACCTCATTTTCCGCAATCCTGAGCAAACATACTGTATTTATGTCAAAATCCCTGGGCCTGATCCAGATTTGGTTGTGCTATTCTAAGATCTACTCAAGTGCAGCTAAGTATAATCCAACTCTCCAAAACTTATTTCTGCATCTGGAGTAATAACCTCTAGAGTCAAAATACAAAGTTTCATAAAAAGATGTTTAAAGCGGGTTCAACTGACTTAGGAAAGAACACCTTGGCGTTTTAGAAAAGAAGGATACGGTGTTCAAAAGACAAAATTATTATGTACCTGATTAGTAAATAATATTAATTATATTTAATTTTAATGGAAATGAAATCCAATTAGATTTTTTTTTTTTACCTACTTCCTATGAGTACCTGCCATTGAAAAGCCAAGTGTAGCCTTCAGCCAGGAAGAGGTTTAGCAGCACTGGTGTTCTAAACATCTGGATCTAGCTTTGTGAGATGCCCTTGCAAGCCTTGGTATTAAGCAGAGAAGGGGGTTAATGCAGAAGACAATTTTTTCTCTGTGTGCCCATTCTATTAGCTGGTTACAGCGAAAGTGTATCTTTACACAAAAGTGGCATTCAGACAGTTACTTGTCTCCATCATCTTTCATAAATCCTGGGGGGTCCTGCCTTTACCTCATGCATTCCTGACAAGGGAGGTGCTTTTCTGGAAAGGGGGTCCTGCTCCCCTTGTTCCTCCTCCTCTTCCAAGATGCCTTCACTGTTATCGCTGTGGGTAGCTTCATCATAGCTGATGCTCCTCAGAATTCCTCGTCTGTCATCAAACTCAGCAGTGCTGCTCTCGCTGGTATCGCTACAGACACTATTCTCCCGGCTTCGAGACTTCAAAATTGATTTACGAGGGACATATTCTCCATTCACAACATCAACAAAGACTCTGTAAAGGACAATGTTAGCTTTAATAAAGTATTTGGAAGAAGCAAGGAGAGAAGCATATGACAAATTCACAATAATTCCACTCCATCTTTGGTACAAATTAATTATGGCTTTACCTGCTCCTCCTTTACCTCCTTAATGAGGCCTTTTAAAAAGATGCACAAGATAGGTGGATTCTACTCTACATACCAAATGTTATTCTGCCTCTTCTCAATGACTGTTCATCCCTTTTCTTTGAAAGTAAACACCCCTGTTTACAGGATTAACAAAACATACAAGGAAACTCCTTTTTTTAAATAAGAGGAACACGCTTTTAATCTTTTATGATAAATTTGATCTTCAAATGTGAAACCTGGAAGTTTACCATTTTTTAATTATTTTTGGAAAAAGAATCTGAAGTAGCAAGCTTCAGATAGATTTTGAAGGCTTGGGGAAAAGTTAGACTTTTGGTTTATTAGTCCAGGATTGTCTTCATGCCAGGGTTGTCTTGTGCATGTTTGGCCAATGCCAAAGATGTATTCTATCACATATGCCATACAGTACATGCTACCATGCTGCATGTGCCCAACGGCACCTCTTTTGACACCACAGCTCCATCGCAGGAATTGGCATGGACAAGATCAGGCTTCACACCAGAACTTAGCAGTAAATTTCACCTCCTCAAAACTGAACCCCTTATTCAGGAATTGGCTTGTTCAGCTGAAGACTCAAACTTGACTTGGCTAGATCAGAATTTTATTACAGGCAAAAATGAAGCCATAAAAGTACAGATGATTTATCCTCTGCATACAAGCAGCTCAACATCTTTATACTTTAAACTTCGTAATTTAAACGGAGTGCTCCATAATATACTCTAGGCATTCTCGTCCCACGTTTCTGAGTTAAAGGATACTTGCTGGTTTGCTTGGTGACCTTGGACAACTAGTCTTGTTTACGTAAGTCCTCTCTAGCCTGGGTACTGCTGGGTATCACCTCACCAAATTCAGCCCTTACAGACACTAAGACAGAAATATGAATGTGAGAATGGAACACAGAACCTTACTGATTCTATGTTACATATCTCAAAGTAGCTTCCTGCTCCTATAAAGATTATCCCTAAGATATTTAATGATTTTCTCCAACTATCTTAATCACTGAGCAGTTGAGCAACTATTATTTAAAATGCTACAGGAAACATTACTGAACACTGGTTTCTAATTTAAAAATTGGAACCCACTTTTGGATAGTTTGCCAAGGCTTATCCCCCTTTTAGAGGTGGATCTTTGGAGAAACAAAATTCCAATTTGGTTATAAAATAGAACTATGAGAACCCAAAGAATACAGAACAAGTGCCAGAGTTTGGTTATATTAACGATAACTGGGAATATAAAAACCGGAATCTTATAGCTGGATTATCTAACAGCTGTGGATTTGACAGTGAAGTGAGTACCAGGTCATTCAAACAAAACTCTGTAAAATTTAAAACATTATTAAAGTTGTGTGATGTTCTCTCAATAACTTTTCCAGGACTAAAAAAGATGCTGAGAAATCATACTGAGGACCCACAGTCTCAGTATGATTTTAAAATTCTGCTATCCTGACTATTCCTCCTTTAACTTCTACACAGGCAGGGGCTGAACTCTCTTAACAATTTGTATATGAAAATGGTAAAGCAATATTTGCTAAACGCCCCCAAACTGGCAGACTAATAACATGAACCAGGGATTGTTTTCCCAAGTCTCTTTATGTCCAAGCAATTTTATAGGATTATTTAACACTGGATAAATAACTATTAAGTATGAAAAACACAAAACAGATATGCCTAAAAGGTGTCAAGGGGCAGGAAGACACTATATAAATTATTTCAGCTGAACTAAAATTAGCCGCACACACAGACATACACCCTTTGTAGGAAGTTAACATCCACAACGTTTGGATGCCGTACCGATAAATATCTGCTGGTGTTTTAATGTTTGGCAGTTCCGTAGTCACCTGTCCATTTCCATTGCTATTCTTCCGTTTCCGTTTTGCTTCTTCCTTCTTTTCACTAAATTTTAAAGTAGTATTTTTTCCTGTGTTTATTCGTACCTGATGTGAAAACATACAGTAGTCGTGAGTATTCAGAAACTGAACGGTGTAAAAACAAAATCTTATTCTCTAGCCAGACAAAGGAAATATCAAAACTTGCTTGGTTCATACAATGAGCTATGCCATTGTTGGAATAAACATGGTTTATTCAACACACAAGAAGGCCGGGGTTCATGTGTCACACTAAGCCATACCAACCACATCACATGTTGGCTCTGTGAGATATGTAGTTGCATCCATGAAGTTGTATAGTGCCCCCACTGGTTTTTTTTCTTCTACAATCCTTCCTTCAACTCAGCTATAAGATGACTAGATATTCTGCTTCCATTTCTTATCAGCTGGGGTTTGTAGTTATGTGCAAACTGGGACTGTAGTTAGTCTTAAAGAAATAAATCAGCATTTGGAGGTGAGGTCTGATTTGTTCCCTTAATTAAGAATGAACACAATTTGCCCAGGATCATGCACAGCACTAAATGTCCAGGTTGTTGAAAACGGAAAGAAAAGCTGATGATGATTCCTTGTAAGCATGACAGAGGAAGGAAGGAAGAAAGCTCCTGAACCCAACTCTTATGTATGTAATGTTAAACCACAGTTCAGTATTTTATCTGCAGCCAGTGACACTAAGCCACAATGTGATTTATTTGATTTATGGAATGGTGTGAATAACTAATTATGGCTAGGTCAGTAAACTACAGTTCTTAAAAAAATGGCTTAGCTCTGGAGTTCTCAAACTTTGCAAAACCACGACCCACTAAAAAGATAAATGAATTTCTGTGAACTTCCTCATGAATAAAACTAATGAGTTCACTGGGGTTACAGCTGGGCAAGAAATAAATACATCACTTGCTAAAAGATATGTAACTTCCATCATACTTTCTTGACAGGGTTACTTTTCTCAGCACTACAGATAGATTGGTCATGTTTAGTTTTACTCTTACCACTCAATAAAAACGTCTCCATTTGGAAAGGCTAGAAACTGAAAACAATCAATAAACATTCCAAACTTTGCTAACATATACACTCCTATAGTTACTCCAAAGTTGACAGATATATTACTACACACCACACCAGAAATCAGCAGCCAGCAGGAAAGCATCAAGCAATCACAACACTCCATTATAGCTTCCTCAATCTGGTAGTATAACTCCAGATATATCAGAGTTGCAACTTCAAGAATTCTCAGTTAGCATTGTCCAGTGCCTGGGATTCTTGGAGCTCCAGGTCCAACACATCTGAAGGGCATGGAGTTGGGGAAGGCTGCTTTACAATACGGCTTCCATCATCTTGACAATACAAACCCTTTTAGGTTCCACAGTGTGGGAGAAATATATCGTTGGCACAGCATTCTCAGTAATGGCTGAATCATCCTCCTCATCACTGCAGTAATGATTTGGGCCATTAACCTGACTTCTGAATGAGTCAAAGTCGGTTACTTCTTTCTGAAAGTTGCCCTGAGTATTAGGTTCTTCTTCCTTGTGAACTACATCCAGATTTAACTTTTTGTCTTCTCTCTCTTCTTCAGAGGAAGAGGCACCTTCTCCATTTGCATCACGAGTATCAGAAATCCTGGAGAAAGAATAAGCAGGGTGGGAGAAGAAAATGAAAGATCAGTTTCTAAGTCCTAAGATAAACAGGTAATCTGTACATCTTATTCTGTTTTTAGGCTGTTGGGTTTTTTGACAAAACAAAGACAATTACACCAGACTAATGGTTTTAGATTCTTTAGGGTTCTTTAGCAACGTAAGAAGGTTCCTATGTTGCTAATTCAGATCAATATCCAACCATCTCCTCCAACGGTAAATCTAGAACTTCCAGGAAATCTGAAAGCAGGGCAGGAAAGCAATAACTCTCTCCTACCACCACTCATTAGAAACTGGAGTGCCAATTCCTTCTAAATTTGGAAATTACATATAAGCATCATAATCAACCATCACTGCTTTCATTCTTTCCCCCGAGACAGTCACTCCTGAGGTACTCTGGACAAACTGTCCTATCATAGGCAGTTTTGTTTATTTCCCATATTTTTTATGACAACCCTGCCCCCCCCCCACTTTGCAGAATTACAAATCCCTAAGTTCCCTAGGAAGAACAAATTATTTAAGTCAACAATGATGTGCTCGAAGTGTTGATTGTATCACTCATTGATACAAGGTTCAAATTGCCAGTATTTACAAGAAGTTGTGGGGAGAATGTATCTGTTAAAACACATTAACAGTAAGTGAACCAAGTCTCCAATTTTATTCCTTTCTCTATTCTTATTAGGATCTAAAGGTTCCAATTTGCTTTAGTGGCAGAGAAAGTCCATTTACAGCTTAGCTTATACCCTAAATATTCTCCCTCCTTCTGAAAACTGCAAAAGTCAACTCTCAAATACCTGTTGAGTTCACCAAGGATTTGTTCCTGTCTTTCAAGTTCATCAAGTCGGGCCCAAAGGTCTTCTTCTGATTTTAAGTCCCCATTGGGTTTCTTATCGGTTTCACTCTCGTAAAGATTTGCCTTGAATGCATGTGTTTTCGGTTTTGAATGAGGTTTGTGAGCAGTTCTGCGTTTTCCTGGAGAATTAAACAAGTGTTTTGTTGTGATGTTTGCTTTAGTAAATATAATTACCAGACAATTCAAAGGAAAACAGGGATGGGCTAAAAACGCCCCCAATTATGTTTCAAGGTATTATTAAAGCTTTTATGTAGTTCTGCCAGTGAACCAGCGCTGTGATAGCAAGCAAATAAGGGGTTATTATCCAAATATGAAACCATATATTATTTTCAAAGAACAGTAACTGGGGGAGGGGGGTTCAATGAATGTATTTATTAATCACAAGATGCTGCCTTCTCCTGGAGTAGGCAAAAGGCCCATCTAATCCAGGATTTAGCAACTTTTGGGGATTTGAGATAGGGGTCTTTCACAGGACCATCAAGATGGTGGGGATTGAACTTAATTCCCTGCGAGTGTAATGCATATACTTTAGCAGCAAACCATGATTGTATCAAAAAGGAATGATTCAATGTGTTCCTTTCTCTTGAAGCTATCTAGGTCTCTGCAGCATCTCATACAGGTAGCCCTCATTTAGCAACTGCCTCACTTAGAGTGGCTGTTCACAGTGATGAAGATGATGAAAAAGTAACTTTGTGACCAGTCCTCGCATTTACAACCTTTGCAGGTCTGTAAAGCAAAGGAAAGTTGAACTACGATCATAAGCACAGTCACAGTTAGTGACAGATTTGCTTAATGACCAAATTGCCAGTCCCAATTGTGGTCACTAAAAAAGGACTACCTGTAGTCAATTTTGGGTACCTGTAACTTAACACATTTTGCATGAAAGTCCAGCAACCCTTCAGAAAAAAAAAACTCATAAAAAGTTTTATTTATTTATGATTGGCTATATGGTCATTGGTTAACTGTGTGTATATGCAAATACATGAATATATGTTCTAGTTTTTTTGAATGGCTACAAGAACCTAACCAAATACATTATAGGTCACTACATTAAAGTGGCAATAGATTATTTTCAGCATTATACAGAACATAAATGGAACAGAAGCTTTTCCATAAGCTAACTGGAAATGTAAAATTAGGGTAGGGAAAGAATGTTCACCTTTTGTTTCAGAGTCATCACTTTCTGCTATTTCTCTGATATCAACAAAATCACCTGCTGCCTAGTAGGAAAATAAATAAATTAGTATATTTTTTAAGACAATCATTTATGGCTTGTGGGCAATTATTCCCAGCCAGCATCAGAAGCCCAAGGGGTCTTTTAAACTGTCTCAAACTTCAATTACCCGTGGCACAGAAATTGAGAGAAACTTCAGGAACTGTTTGTAACATGACACGAGGTGAATGATTTATTTATTTCTAGCTTGTATACCCTTGTTCATTCTTTTTAAATGA